AAGACATAACTATTTCCAGTCAATTTTGTAGATATGAACTTTTTTCCTAAGCAAACATCCCCAAATTTTGAAATGAATAATCGATTCAAATGGATATTTCTACCTATTAAAGAATCCAACATTTATTTTTTTTTATTCTTAGAATTTTATTCGTATATTTTTACTGTAAAAAAACACATCAATCAATTAGTACATAATTGTTAACTAAATCAATAGTTTCATATTAAAATTTTTAATTATACAGTGATGTCAGATATTTAAAAGAATAGGTTTACTATTCATAATATATAGTGTTGCTCAGATCTATCATAATTATTTTTAGTATTAATTTCCTTCATTTTACTCTGTTTCCTTATATTTTTTAACCACGCTTTTTTTTCTCTCTCTCTTTATATGTATGATATTAGTTAGAGAGTTCTTCGAATAGTACAATATTAAGTACTGTTAATAAATAATTTTAGTATTATTTTTAATAAAAATATGAAAATAGAACCTATTTTATTATTGTCATGCATATTTTTTTTTTATCTTGTCTATATCACAAATATTCTTCACTTGAACCAATCTTATTCAAATTAAAGTATTTAATATATTTAGGGTGTGTGAATTTAAAATTATTAATTAAACTGAAATAATTTCGTAACAATTGACCTATACTTCATGTGCAATAATAATTATACATATAAAGAAAAATCATCTAAAAAGTACTTTTAAAATAGTAAACATCTAAGTTTGTTTATAAAAAAAATGGTGTAAAGTGTAAACCTAATGGGTATGAGAAACTAACCATCACTATAGAACTCGTTTTCTATAATATTTATAGACGGGCATTTAACCTACCAAGTTTGATAAAACAAACCCTTGTTTACTTCTTATGATATGCTTAATTATCCCCTAAACTAAACCAAGCATGGAAGTTTGTGTTTTTGCCTAGTTGCCACTTGTAGGGAATCACCAAGGACTCGGCATTATGCTACTGCAGTTGAGGAATAGCATCTGCTCCCTCATTATGGCCTAACAAACTACCACAAAGGTCACTTCCCTTAGGTCCACAGGCCAATCTCTATGATAAATTTAACCAAATCCAATCACACAGCTTCAATCTTCATCCATAGCACATAATTATAATACCACGTGGGTGAGTCTTGCCTTGCCATAGCAACCTTTTCACTTCCCAGCTGCTTCATCAGGACACTCACGCACTTAACACATGTAGTGTGTGTGGTTTCACTATGTGACATGTAGGACAAATGGAACAACCCAACAATGTAATCTTCCGTGCATAGCTAATAAAGAGAGAGTGGTTGTGCATCAACTTGTACCATATGATCACACCCAAATTATATATTTCCTCCCTATTTCTGCTTGCCTTACTAGCAGTTAATGATATGTTCTAAAGTTCTAGTCCATAAATGGCACCCAGGAGAACAGTGATTGGTATCCTATGAAATATGTTGGTTCACATAATTATTAGTGATTTGTGACCCTTACAAAATTGTTTAGGATTTAAATCCTCACCATAGATATGAAACAAACTATTTTAAAAGAGAAATATTCATTTTATATACCGTAAATGTTTTAGACAAAATAATTAATTACTGTAAATACTGTATTAATATCATATTTACTCTAATCTAGCGTCTTTTTCATTTAAGGTTAAAAGATTGTATACTTTTCAATAACAGAAGACTAATTAATCTTATAGGTAGAGAAAGTTATAATATTTTAGGTATGTTAAAATGCGTTGAGGACAAGTCAACTCACTTGTTTCACCAAAATAGATTGGATTAGTTTGAATAATTCAATCTTTTAACTCACGTAGTATAATTTACATAATATGTCAACCCAACAAGTTAGATGACAACTAGGATTGGATTAACTCATTTTTCTTAAATATTGTTGATAATTTTTTATTTTTCTATTTTATTTCATACCAATATCTTAAGGTTCACCTTAAATTAATTTCTATTTTATTGTAGTGTATATTTATTTAACTTAAGATGATAATTTTAAAAAAAATGTGCATGAGAATTTAGTAAAATAATATTCATGTATGTCATCGAGTTTAGATTATTTACACTTATTTATTTTGTAAGTTAACTTATGAATAATCAATTTTTATATTTTATTTATTTATTTAAAATTTTGGCATCTCAATCCAATCTAACTTGCAACTTAATATATGGATTGAGTTGAGATTTTCAACACCAAATCTTAAAATAAGTTCAACCTAATTTAACCATTTTTTTGTTGAGTTAAAAATAAGTTAGAGTAAGATGAGTTGAGTTGACTCATATTTAACATCTTTACAAACTTCAGATATTGTTTAACCATTGATTCAAAGTTGTGGCGATGAGAGGACACTTTTCCAATTAACAAGAATGATCAATTTTTCTTCTTCTTATTTTGTGAGTAAGCATAATATTGATACCTATAGTATCTATATTAAAAATCATGAGTAATGTTTAATATTATTTTATACCTAAAATTAGGATTTAAATTTGGACAAATTAATCAAAAAACACCAATTTTTATACTTATCAATGTTGGTATCACGGTCGATCTTGAAGACACGTAGGATTTACCTTAACTAATAAATTTACCACTACTATGCGTGAGACACAAGATTGTTTTGATAATCCAAATTAGGAATATTGCAAGGTGGGTGAAGCAATGGACCTTCAAAACCAAGTCTGGAATCTTTCCAAAATAAATAAATAAAATCTAGTCATTATCACTAATTGCTAATGGTATGTATTTTTGAATAAAATGCCAAAGCTAGCTAGTGTAGCTACTTCTTTTCGTTCTATTAGAGCTTATTCGTTTCTTTATAGCCATCATAAGTCATAAGTCTCCATTCTCCAATTCACCCCACTTCCATTCGCACTTACGAATATCCACCCCAGAAAAGTTTTAACTCAAATTATAATATGCATTTTTCATTATTCTTATGTTTAGGAGCAAATTAAATGATACGGCACCATGTTCCTTGAAGGAGAAAATGGTCGTTGCTGGTTATTAATTTCTCGCCGGGGTGGCCAAGTGCTAAATTATTTGTTAGACGAGAACAAAGCATTAATAATTTATTTGAATGCAGGCCGGTTTTGAGTTTTTTTAAGGTTTTGGTAGAATAAAAAAATATGTTCTTAATTATTTGTATTGAAAAAAATTCAACTATTTAGTTTTATAAAAGATTTAATTATGATTTTATACTTATAATATTACAATTGTCCGATTTTAGTTTTTAAAGTTATAATTGATTAATTTTAATTGCATAATAAATATTGCACAATTGTGTGATTTTGGTTATCTACATTTTAATTAAGCAATTTTAGTCTGTTAAGTATTATAATTATATGATTTTAGTTCCAAATATCCTAATGATGTATTTTTTTTTATCTATTCAACAAATTACATTATATTATAATTTTTATTCACGTATTAAATGATATATATTTGTTTTACTAAAATTATTAATATATGTAACTTAAATAGACAAAAAATTATATAATTATAACACTTGAGAGATTAAAATCATAATTACAATACTTAAAAAGTTTAAAATTACTCGATAAAAAATTAAGAAGTCAAAATTATATAACTGCAATCCTTGATAAACTAAAATTACACCATTAAAATTACTAACTTGTGTTTTATTTATGAAAATTAACATCACATCAAAACTAATTGTTGTTCCACAACTTATTCAAATTGATTTAGTCAATGATGTTGTAGGTGGTTCAAGAAAATAAAACAAGTCTTTTTAAAAAATATAGAGTGAAAATGATTTTTTTTATATATAATTTGAGAATAAAAAACTTACTTCAAATTTAAAGATTAAAAAAGAATTTAAGAAAAAAAAATAAACAGCTGTAGTTATGTTGAATGATATCTTTAAATCCTATTTTGATGTCATAAAATAAAATTCAAATAATGGTAATTTTAGTGTTACAAACAAAATTTCTCATCTCCTAGTACCTTTTCTTTGTATTTTGAATTAATTAATATTTTAAGCACGTGTCAGTGCACATATTAAATGTTTATTTTATATAACTAAATTTATAATAATTTATGTATATAAAAAATTATGATATTTAATTATATAAATTAAATTAAAATTTGTATAAATAAAAATTTAAAATATATATTTAAATTTTAGATTTAAGATATATATATATATATATATATATATATATATATATATATTCAAGATATAATTAGTAAATTACAATTGGGCGTATTTAAACTAAAATACTCTAACTAAAATGCTAATTAGATCATTTTCATGTGCATTTCCCGATACCATCAATTTCCAACTAAATCATAAGTTGCAATTAGATCTTAAATTTTTAAAACATCAATACTTTTGAAATAAAATTAATAAAAAAAAAATAAAACATCAATGCTTTTGAAATAAAATTAATAAAAATAAAATAAAAACATCAATACTTTTGAAATAAAATTAATAAAAAATAAAACATGAATAATATAAAATGGAGAGAATATATAAATATAAAATTATAAAACATACAAAATAGAAAACAAATATCAACCCATGCAATTTTAGGATAAAAAAAAATGCAATGCCTTCTAGCTACTACTAGTTGATAATTCACCTTAACTAATAACGATTATTCTATCTTTATTTACCAAAATCCAAATAACGTTCCATTTCCACTCCACTATTTTTGGGCTTTCCAAGAAGATAAAGGGGAAGCTTCTCAGTTCCCAAACAAACTCGTAATTTGAAAGTACTATTACGTTCCAATACATTAAAATCTCCTAATTGAAAAATTAATGTGTGAATCACTATGTTCGGGTTCATTAAAAACTCGTAATTGACAATGCACGTGTTAATAATTATTAATTCGCCTTCTCCAAAACACTTTGTGGGGGAATTTATCTAGTCACCAATATGTGTATATATATTCATTCTCATCATTGGTCATCATCTTCACATTCAAGCAAAAAGACTCACTTAAGTTGTGACGTAGTGTTCAATGGAAGAGAAAAAGATAACACACTACAGCAGCACTCATAGGATCTTACTAGTGGGAGAGGGAGATTTCTCATTCTCACTATGTTTGGCAAGGGCATTTGGCACAGCTTCTAATATGGTTGCTACCTCTTTAGATTCTAAAGGTATATAAATATTTTAAACTAAATTGAAATTGAAATATCGGTAGTGTGTTTGGATACTTAATTTCTTGACTGAATTTTAACATGTAAAATCATGGTGAAATTTTGAAAAAGTTGAAGTAATTATTTGTTTTTCCTTTGACATTCACCATGATTGTGCGATTGATTTGAAAAGAATTGAAAGTTAATCCAAACGTATACTATACTATAATATATGATTCATGCAACTTTATTTGCATGCAATAAAGCTGTGCTTTGAACTACTTCATATTGCTAACTTCATGTTTTGCTTTTTAATATTTTGAAGATTCTTTAATGATGAATTATGAAAATGCCTTAAGCAACTTGATTGAACTTGAGACTCTTGGTTGCACCATTGTGCATGAAGTGGACGTCCACACAATGAGAGAACACCCACTTCTTGAACATGAACGTTTTGACCGCATAATTTATAATTTTCCTCATGCTGGTTTCAATGGTCGTGAAAGTAATGCCTCAGTGATTATGTAAGTTATGCGAAAAATGTGCAATCTATAAGTAGTTTATTTTTTAGCTCTAATTCGGTAATTCATCTTATGTATACACGCTTCAAATTAATGCAGGCTTCACCAGGATTTAGTTAGTGGATTTCTGAAAAATGCTAAATGCTTGGCTACTTACTTTGGTGAAATTCATATTACTCACAAGACATCGTACCCTTTCAGCGAGTGGGAACTCAAGACATTGGCAAGTTATGAGGATTTGGTGTTAGCTAAAGAAGTGGACTTTGATATATATAATTATCCAGGTTACAATAACAAGAGAGGAGCTGGGTGTCAATGTGATGAAAGTTTCCCTGTTGGACAGTGCAGTACTTTCATGTTTCAGTTATTGTAGAAAATGATGTTGTTGACGTGTTTTAACCTTTAAGTATTGAATACTTGAACTTGAAGCGTCACTTTTTGTATTTTGGTTTCGCGTGGTAGTATGAAAATTGCAAGTCTTTTCTTATTAGAAATTCTATATTATTGTTAAATTTAGAGTACTTTCGTTTGTTTTCTCCCTCTTGGCCTGTAAAGGGATTTCATATGCTTGTTACCGTTATTGCTGTTTGAATATAGGTATGTGTTAAAGAATTCAAGTGTCCTACTTGGACTAATAATATGTTGGAAAACATGCAATTTAAAAATAAAAGATTAAACATAACACATTTTTGAAAAATGCTGCAAAGAAGCAGTATTCAAATTGTTTGTTCTTGCAAGAACTTAAGTACCAGAACGGGAACCGTTTGACATTTTATACATTCTATCAATTTCACGTTTGATTCACTTTTACCAAGTGTTTCATAATTCATACAAATCTTTTACAAAGTTAATATCAAGTATTTCTCTCCCTTATCTTATTGACCCGCACTACAACACAAATAGTTTTTAGCAATATTTAAAAAATGTTACTTAATTATATAAAAATCTTACTAATTTGTTTTAGCAACATATTATTAAATATTGTATATATTTTATGTTGCTAAAGACTTCTAATAACATTTTTATATAATTAGGCAACATTTTTCAAATATTAGTAAAGTAATACTTTTATAACATTTTAATGATGTTTCCAATATTTTGTTAATTTTATAGAATGATAATTAATTTTAATTTAGATATATTACTATCAATTATTATATTTTTATGCCTCTTAAACTCCTAGAAATTCTTTGAGAGAAAATTAAAGACATTCTTAATTAGTTATCATTAATTATATATAAAATATCAAATTTCATTTATCTTAAGTATAATTATATGGTTATATATACTCTTTATAAGTTATTAATCTATTGGATCTGAGACTTTAATTATGGGTAACAATTAGAAATAAGAGAAATATATTTTTTTTACTTGATGTGAGATTTTGATTTTAGAAAAATTATAATAACATTTTTCAAAAAAAAATGTTGCAAAATAACTGTTAAAACTATTGTTGAATATAGGTTGTGCAACTTTCACAAAGTTGCACTTTTGACCTTATCTGATTTAGGAAACTTAGGTTCATAGGCTAGCAGAATTTTTTGATGATGTATCTTGTTTGTTCTTTCATATATATATATATATAAGAAACCCAAGCTAGGGTTTCAGTTTTTGGAGCCACAAAATCAAATTTAAGTTGGTATCAGAGCGGGTCCGATCCCGCTCTGCCGTTCGCCGCCGTCCAAATTCTCCAGTGAGCTTAGGGTTTGGTGCGCCTCGTTGAGCGCGACCCAACCCTGTTGGTTTCGAGGGCATCGGAAGCCTCACGCGCTCTCACGCGCCGTTCAAACACTTTGCCCAGTCACGCGCGTGTGCTTCACGCGCCGCCTTCGGCTCACTGAAGTTCCGTCGCACTGCCACCGCCGTGTTCGCCCTCCTCTCCTGAGTCTCTTCCAGCCCTTGGTTCATTGTTTTAGGTGTTTGTTTGGATCGCGGTTACAGTTCATCTTCCTCCTTATAAGTCAAATGGCCTCCATAGGTCCTGTTCATCCCTTTTCTGGTACTCCCACCATTACCACTGCAAAACTAAACTGGAAAAACTATTTATCTTGGTCTGCCTCCGTGGAGTTATGGTTTCTTGGTCAAGGATATCATGACCATTTGGAGAAGGAAGTTGAGGCTATTCCTAATGAAAATAAACCTCAATGGCAGAAACTTGATTTTCAACTATGTGCTGTCCTATGGCAATCAGTTGAACCTGAGGTGTTAGAGATACTCAGGTCATTTAAGACATGTCATTCATTTTGGAAGGAAGCCCAAGATATTTTTGCTAATGACATTCGACGTCTTTTTGATGCAACCCAAAGAGTAGCTTCTCTTCAACAGACCAACCATGATATGATTTTACATGTAGCAAAGGCTCGGGCTGCAATAGAAGAATTGAAAAGATTTCTTGTGGCTGACTCATTGGAGGGTGTCAACAAAAAACTTGATAAGTTATATATGGTTTTGATTTTGAGAAGCTTGCATTCAGATTTTGATCATCTACGTGATCAAATTTTGGCGAGTGATGGAAGCTAAGTGAAGAAGGTTGATGTTCTCCACTTGTTCCATGCTTGGACCGTGATGCTTTGAGGTTAACTTCTTGAAATTCCGGAAATCTCCATTGAAGAAGCTTCAAAGGAGGTGAAGTCTATGGAGGAGGTTCGGTTACTTCTCTTGGATGGAGAAATTTGATGAACCAAAGCAAGGTTGAAGGAACCTTGATGAAAACCTAGGAGGGATAGGTTCTCACAGATTTTGGTGACTCTTGATTGAGAGAAAATTCAGAAGTTGATTTCTCATATATGTCAAAAGTGTCTACAAAAGAGGTATTTACAAATATATAGAGAAGAGGTGGCTTCTAGGAGAAGCTAACCTTAACCATAGTTCACTAGGAACCATGGTAAGGTTTACTTAACTCCTACGGTTTAGCAAGCTTGCAAGGGAAGCTAACCTTGACCATGGTTCACTTAGGAACCATGGTAAGGTAAGCTTATCTTACTTGAGTTTAGAAGCTTGCAAGGCAAGCTTCAAAACTCAAGAAGGAACAACTAATGAATTCGGCCATGAAGAGAGCTAGGCGGCCTTGCACTTATTTTGCTCCTTGATTTAATTTGCAAAATCTTGATTTGGTGTAGTTAGGTTCATCATATGATGATGAGACCTAGCTACATCAAATCTATGAAAAATTAGGAGCAAAATGAGTCCAATATCAAAAATTTAGCCTAGGCCCAATTCTGGCCCAATTACTAGTCATACCTCAAGCTTTGCTAAATGTACCCCCCTTTTCCTTACTGAAAAAATACAAAATGAATGTGTCAA